CTCCATTCAACAGAAATCATATTACACTCATGTAATTAATTCACAATGAACATAAAATATTTATTGAAAATAACAAGACATTCAAGAGACTTACTTAAAAATTTTAAAAAATGCATCCACACAGAACATAAAGGTAACAACAGGAAGTTTGACCCAACTCTTTTTGGCCTTATGGGAAATTTTCTTTCACTAAAAACGAGCCTGAATCAGAACTAAATGTTTTTAATGGATGTCATTTTACCAGATTGAAAACCAGGATTAAACCATGTCTGAACTAGATTTAAACTGGTCTGGACTACATCTATTCATTTCAGAGACGTCTGCCTGCCTTCAATAAACCAACAACCACCAAAAAATTTGAGTAAATGTAGCACAACTGATTTGTTTTATTATTTATATTAAATATATACCTGAGTCTAGTCCTCTTTACACATATTACAGTTTTTCTTGGCCCTCTTGTCAAGCCATTAGACTTCTCCAGCTGCAGTTTCCTCTCTCAGGCTGTGGCTCCTTCAGTTTAGTGTGTGAAGCCTTGAGACAGCAGGCAGTGTGTACGGGTGATCAGAGGACTCCTTTCACCTCTCTCCAGTGGCCCCCTGTTGCTTTGGAAAACTATACAAATAATAGTAATGTGGAAATTAAATAGTTAACAGTTCAATATTCACTTATCAATTGTGAGCGTAAATCAATCTATACTCACAGCATCAGACCGAGGTTCATCTGCAGGTCGTCTTCAACTCTTCTACATGTGGTTGTGCTTCTTGTTTCTACCTGCTAAAATAAACACGAGTGAAAAACGTGTCTAAAATGTGCTGTGATCAACAAAACATTGTTTATTCCTAAACTTGTGGAAATAACTACTGAAGTGTGACATTTAATTATATATTATATTTATGATATCTATGATCTATAAAAATGGTGTTCAAAAGAAAGACTGAACGACAAATTATAGGAGAATATCCAAAAAAGCCTTGGGTCAATACTTTTATCTCACATAGTCCCACTGTTCTTAATTAGCATAACCTGTGTTGTGCACAGATCCACGGTGTAGGGGTCACCTCGAGTCAAATTAGCACAGAACTGTCTTGGACTCTCAGTCCTCTGATGAGCCTTCGAATGGACAAAAACTCTGTTCCACTTACAACTGTATTTAGGCCACCCAAGGCCACTTTCCTTCCAAATCAGATAATAAACAGAAGAATCTTCTCTTATTTGATTTATTGTTCTCTTAACTGAAAGTATTACGCATTTTGATAATCAGAGAATGTTTATCAAAGTTACAGGAGAAGAGAGGACAGATCTCTTTTCTCCCTCAGTATGATTTCAGCTATGTATGGTTTTTCTGTGGGAAAAATTCTTATTTAACTAAAATAATCTTTATGGTTTAAGTTGATGAAATATCAATGTTTTACTTGTCTGAATCATATTTYCAAATGTTTTGAACTTGAAGCAATTCATTTTTCTTTCAGTTATGTTWTAAATAAGTGCTCATCAGATAATTTCAATAAGTCATGAAATGTGTTGTTCTGAACCACACAGCAGCAGCAATAATCTTTGTTTTGTTTCAGGAGGCACAGCGAGCTCTGAAACTAACACTTTCCTTGATAATTTCTTTTTCTAATCTAACCTTCTGGAGGGCGGACCATAGATTCTCTAAGCTTTTAGGAACTAACAGTTTCCGCCCGTCTAGTACAGAGAAAAGAAAGAGAGTGAGAAAAGGTGACTGACGGCTGTCAGTCACTGTGACAGCTAGATTCTCTCCGGGGAATCAAAAGCTGAAAACTGTGTCAGGTTTGGCCCCTTCACGCCAACGGGGAAACCTCACAGTGTGGAAAACCACGCCTGGTTTATCCACCTTCAGAAACTCTCCAGACGGAAGTTTTATTTACAACCTGGGTTCTAGTCGAGGCCTTGTCTTCTGGTTACCGCTCTAGGGCTGCCACGATTAATCGATGACTAATCAATTATTAAAATAATCGATGACTAATTTGATAATCGATTAATCGTTTTCTTTTTTTTGTTGCTGTTCTTTACTTTGTTTTTCTCTCCAAACTGCTTTGACACCTTCCACTGCCACATCTGCCTTTCTGTCCTTGACACACATGCACAGTAGTGGTAACTGGGGTAGGCCGTGGACGTCACAAGACATTATACAGACAGGCTCTGGTATCATGGCTACCTGACAACAGAGCTCAAAAGTGTGGGATCATTTTAAGAAAATGAAAGAGAAACCTGTACAATATCTGCAGAGCAGAACTTACCTTCCACAGCAATTATTTTTAGTTAGCATATAGCTAAAATCTAACCATGGATATACAATAGCAGCTGCATTCTGATGTGATAAGCTCTATGTTTTATATTCAATTAACGTATGATCCAATTAGTCGACTAATCGAACAAATAATCGGTGATTAATCTATTATTAAAATAATCGTTTGTGGCAGCCCTACGGCTGACGTGGACGTAAACGAGTCAACAAAACACGCCTTGGGGTCCCCTGTTCGACGGTCTACAGACAGATTCTCCGGCAGCGCCCCCACCTACCTGGCAGGTGACAGAACATCATCTCAAGGTAAAAGCTGGCTGTGTGTGACGTCGAGGTCTGACCAAAGCTGAGCACAGAACGCTTCGCCCTTCTGGTTAAAACCCACATTATTTAAGATAAAGAGTAGAAAAGCTAACACCTTTCTTCAACCTTTTTCTTAACCTTGCCCTTGCCAACTCCTAAGGTAAACAGCCTCAAATGTCTGGTATTTAACATCTAAGCTGACGTTTGTGTTTCTATGTAAGTGTGGTTAACAATTAAGAAGTTAAAAGCTTGTTATTGTTGGTCCCAAATCTTTTATTAATTGTTCACAATCAGGTGTACTCGATAGTCAATTTTGTATGATTTGTAAAATAAATGATCGCATGTTATGGTTCAAATCAACATTCACTGACTGAGAGTTACTTTTTGTGTCCATTCATWCTTGCACTAAAGAAATGTTTATCCAAACATTAAAAGAGATCCTTGCTAATTAAATTACTCTTATAACCTTGTTATAAGAAGTGTAAGCTGACCCTTACAACAGTATAACTAGTAATAATTCTGTCACAGAGCTTACAGGTGAAAGTTGATCCACAGGGTCTTGTTTTGGTGCTACAGCTGTTAGAACATCTGTTTGCTGCACAGAAGTCAGGCATGTTGTGGAGGTTTACTTCTGTAAACACAAAGCAGTAATTAGTTTTTAACAAACCACYCTGCTTGTAAATCAGGTGCAGCTTCAGTTACGTTAAAAACAAAGAGCTCCTGACCATTTTAAATTGCCGGTAAACTTAGAATTACTAGCTAGCTCTTAACCATTGGCTTTTTATTAGCCTGCTATAAATACAATCATGATTAAAATTGTCATTTAAACAAAAAAAGATTACTTTGTCATTAAATCATTACTGGTCTCGGGAAAACTTAGCTTATGAGTTTAAAATATTGACCAGCCTTGATAACAAGAACATTCACAAGAAGCTAGCTGTGAATATGCAACACAATTAATAGTTTTTTTTAAAATAAAAGCTGCATTCTCAACATGTGTAACTAGCCCAAATCATAGCCACGTTAATAAGCTTTGTGACAAACCAAACTGTTTGTAAATACATCAAGATTTCAGCGAGTAAAGCGTATTTTTGTTTGTGTAAATCACTCACAATTTCCACAGCTACAGCTAGTGCTATTGTCTGTAGCAAGATGGCCGCCGTGTGACGATGCCGGAAACTCCGCCTCAGCTTATCTAGCTGTATGATTCTGTGCTTCTGGACTTGCTAAACTCGTAGGTATGGCTTCAGACGAGGCGTTTAAAGTAAGTTTACGTGCTTCAATCTGCCTAATGATAATGATTATTATTATTATTTTGCATGAACAGTCATTTTATTTGCTCGTTTATGTTGTTAGATAAGTAACATTAGTGGTTTTATCCAACTTATGTTTGTGTCTTCCCTGAAGGGGAAAGTGGCCCTGATAACAGGAGCCAGTTCGGGTATCGGCGCAGGAACGAGCCTCGTGTTCGCTAAACTCGGAGCCCTGTTGGCTCTGAACGGCCGAGACGTGGAAAACCTGAAGAAAGTCGCCAAACAGTGCGTGGAGTGTGGAGCTGCAGAGGTACACGAACATAAATAACCCCACAATGTAAATAAAGTGACAGGATGCCAAAAAGGGAACAAAACCATTTGCTAATGTGACATATTTTAGCATGCTGAAATTCTGTTTATATATCAAAAAAATGTTCATTTATATGTAAATACTAGAGCTGGGCGGTATGGCCAAAAAATTATATCACGGTATTTTCAACATTTACACCGGTTTGATGGTATTTGACGGTATTTTTCTTTTCATCACATGTCAGCTGATAATAAAATGTACAAACACTGCTTATTAACTTATTTTTCTTTTACTGTACCTCTGTCTGTGTCGCTGTTTCCCTCCTCTGTGTGTCTTTTCTCCTCCTGGTTGTAGACAGTAATCACGCATTTTGATCCGGTCGTGAAGGAGGAGGGTTACGAAAAGTTTATGATCGGGTTTATTGTTTTATGTTATTTAATAAAGATTATCAGCACGACTCACCTTGCACACCAGTCAATTCCAATTCCATTACAAACTACTTTCCCCGGGCTTTTCACAYTAGAACCGCGTTAAGTCTCCATTAGCATAACGTCTCCATATTAACGTCGTGCATTAATCTAACTGTGCACGTCACTGAAAATGTGTTTACTACATTCAGCGACGGCAAAAACGGGATGTTTTTTTTAAAGTCAGTCAATATAAGCAGCGAAATCGCCACCCGCCTCTGAAGCTGTTCAACAATAKCATTAGCATGCTAACGCACATAGCGGTGCTGCGAGGAAAACTGTCCCCCAGGAAACAGCTCATTGGCGGTCGCGACGAAACGTTCCATAATGTTCAGGCTATTTAAACTGTTATGTCCGGTATTCAGAAAATTCATATAACAAAAATAAAAACTGGTATTCGGTACAAAACGGTATACCGCCCAGCACTAGTAAATACAGTACGATTTTGAATTACTTTTGCATTTAAATTATAACATGTTACTGCTAAATTACTTGTAAGATCTTGCACAATCTGTTACTGCTCTGAATGTGTGTTGGGAACTAGTCTCAGCTACTACCAAAACCAATCTTAGGTCAATATTTGTAGGACTGATGGAGTTGTTAATTAGTTGTGGCAGCTATCTTGATTGAAGTTGACTTGAGCACACAAAACAACAAATTCACTCAACCTTAACATTCAACAGGTGATTAAAAAGTCTACGTAAAAGCCGAACTGACCCGGCTGTAATTTTGCACAGCCCTTGCTCGTTCCCGGAGACCTGACCGATGAAGAGACAGTGAGGAAAACGGTGGAGCAAACTATCGCCCGATTCGGCCGGCTGGATGTTTTGGTTAACAGCGCGGGCATCCTGGCAATGGGCAGCATCGAGACCGAAGACTTGGCTCAGTACGACAAGGTGATGAACGTCAATGTCAGGTAAGAATATTAAAACCAGTAATAGTTGGATGTGGGTTATTTTTGTTTGTTTTGTTTTTTAACATATTTTCCACTCTAGGTGTTGATTGGCTGACGAACAGCTTGTGTTTCCGAGAGACATTTTGTATAAATATGTTTTAAAAATGAGTCTGTTCTGCTCAGGGGCGGAGCCAGAAAAGTGGCAAGCGTCACCTCTGGCACCTGATTGGTCACCCCAGGTTCCACCCTCAAATAGTTGACAAATGAGTCGAGGTCTTTTGTGTTTGCATTTAGATTTTGTTAAAGATTGTTCTCTGATACCACTGTACTGTATACAATTGAAAAAAAAAACTGTGTATGTCTAAAAATGACTGTAATATAACCCTTTATTAATTTAGATTTAGCATTAGTGGTTAGCCTAATAAGGGATTAGCATCGACAATCGGCATGTGATCATTCTTATCTTTTTTTTGGCATCCTTTGGAAGGCAACATTTGACCTAATATGGTCAAAGGTTTTCTCTTGCTAGTTTTTTTTCCTATGTGGGCACAACTACATTTTTTATTCCTAGCTACTCCCCAACAAATTCCATCACAGTAAGTTTTAAAGGGATCCCCGATTTGTTGTAACATTAGACTTTATATGATAAACATATACTTTAACTGTAAAATAAAGACTGTAAAAGTACTGTAGGATGTTCAGTTTTTATAATTTTTAAACTAAAAGTTTAAAAATATATTACACGGACGGGGCCATTTTATTTACACACAAAGCATTCTGGGTAAATGATGAACTTGAAATGATAAACTTCACCCCGGTGCCAACAAATTCCCACAAAGCTTTATAGTAATCACTTGGTGAAAACGTTAGCTAACTGCAGTGTGTAGCATACTCT